TTCCCTTTTCACTCTTCTTCCTGAGAAGTTTCAAGATACCACTGTTGGTCGTTTTGATGTAACTTAGGATTTAATTTTTGGTCTATTTCCTCTTTGTCTGCTTGTCCCGCTCCATAATCCCTGTTTAGGCCTTTTTTCTAGTTGAAACAGTTCAGGGCTGGCTGTGGCCGTTTGGTTTTTAATTGCAAACTGTCTCTTTAAATTTCGAGGAGTTCTGTGCACATGCGTAGTAGAACCCTCTGAGGGTGGGGCTGGGGTGCCCACTAGCTCAGGCACCCCTATAGTCACTCGAATGGAGATGCATAGACAGCAAGGGACCAATGAACAGCTACCAAAAGAAAAGAATGTCCACACCTTTATCTCAGCGGTTCTGCCAGGCATCTGTGGCAGCTCCGATCCGGGGTCTCACCCAAGATGACAGCTCCTGGAGCAGCCGAGCATCCTGGATTAGAAAGCAATAGATTTCTTGCTTCTGCCACAAATTCCCCCAGCTGTGAGCCTTCCAATCTTCTAAGTATTCCTTTATATGTGGTTCAGAGTTCTGGGACCATCCCCTGAGCCTGCTTGGTCGGGTATTCAGTGTTGTTGTTGGCGGAGCTCTCTGCTATAAGTCCACCCGATGCGCCATCTTGTTTGTTCCTTCCCACAATTCCACAAGTTCTTTTTTAAAGCAACTTGGGATTATAAATAACAATGTATATACTTTATAAAGGAATGTCTATAAAAACAGAACCTGCAGAATTTATGTTCTGTTTTAATGTTTTGTGGGACTTTATTTCTCTAGCAACATACTTCAGATGAGTTTTAGCCAGAAGAGAGTTATTTGATGATAAGAATTAGCATGCATTCTATTAGTATGTTTAAGTTTTGGCTTCTGTGATGCTTATATAGTAGTAGTTTCCCTTATGCAAGAAGATATGTTCCAAGACCTCCAGAAAAAGTCTGAAACCACAGATCATACCAAATCTTTTATATGTTTTTCCCTAAACATATGTAGGACAGATACCCAGGGTGCCCAGACTGGCTGCATTAACTCGTCTGATACTGGGAGGTCACAGTGCTGCCACTCATCCAATTTTATTTTCCAGGCTGTGTTCTGAAGAAGAGGAGGAAAAATCCAGCTCCAGGCCAGAATGCTATTCAGAATGGCATGTAATTTAATTATCATTGGACTACAGTTGATGAAGTTAACTAAAACTGTGGAAAGCAAAACTGTGGATAAGGGAAGACTAATGTGTCCTGGTGTGGCACTGTGGGTTAATGAGCAGGAACACAGTCAGTTTGAATTGCAAGGTAAGCAGTTCAAGCTCACCAGTTCAAGCTCACCAGCTGCTCCTCAGAAACCCTATGCAGGATAGCTATGGGTCAGAACTGAGTCAGCGGCACTTAACAACAATGGAGTGGATGGTGGGATCGAACCACTTAGCTTTCAGTAAGCAGTACTTAGCACACAGTGCCACCATGGTTCCTTAACAAAACTATCATAAGACATAAGTAACCAGTTTCAGGTTTAGCAATGGTAAGACTTATAATTCTAACGTAACAAGGAACTCTGCCTGAGGTGAAGCAAGTATCTCCACAGATTCATCTAACTAAAAACTAATCAGGAATACAAATGACAATTATTTTTTGTTGTAACAGAGAGGGAGTAAGAACAGGGTGAGTCCCTTCAAGATTTGGAGGCTTCCTACATTCTCCAAGATGTCAAAATCACCTAGAACATTTCCAGCATGTCTTAATTTTACTGCTAATCATCAATGTTTAGGTGGGTTTAAGCTTTTAAGACCGCACATTCTTAAAAAGTACTGGAAAATAACATTGCGTCAATGCACAGGTTCAACTGAGATTTTTTTGTTATGCTCAATAACACAAATTATTTTATTAATGACTCCCAACTTATACTTCTCGGCAGTTATGTTTCAGGCTTCTACATTCTTTCACTTCAAACGCAATTTGGTTAAATAAATTAGAAACAAAAAGATAGAAACTCTAGGTTCAAACCTGGGTCTGCCACTTATTACATATGTATCTAATGAGATTCTTAAAACAATACAGGATTTTTTAAAATCATGGTTCTCCTACTTCTGGGTGGTTACTGTTGTCGTTGTTTTCTGGGTGATTATTTTTATTTAAAGTGTCACCAAGTTGGTTCTGATTCACAGTCACTCAATACAGGGTTCCTGAGGAGTGACTGATGGGCTTGAATTGCCAACCATGAGGTTAACAATCCAGTGTTTATCCTATAATGCCAGACTAGAATTACTACTTTTGGGTGATAGGGCAGGTTATTTAAATTTCCTGGGCTTTAGTTTCCTATATATAAAAACAAGCATAGTAACTGCAACTATCTCATAGTGTTATTACAATAATTAAATGAGATAATGTGCCAAAAATTAAATGAAATAATAAAAGAAAATCCTTATAAACTTAAAAGATTGTCATTATAAACATAATAAAGGCTGCTGATGCTGCATGCCATCAAATTGGTTCCGACTCATAGCAATCTTGCATAGGGTTTCCGAGGCTGTAAACCTCTACAGAACAGAAAGTCTCCCTCCCTCACAACTGCTGATGCATTCATAACTGGTGACTTTGCAGTTAATCCGCTATGCTACCCATACTCCTTATAGCAAAAGCTAGAAAAATAATATTGAAATCAGCAAACTTAAATCTCATACTACCCAAAATAATATAACAAACAATGGTAAAGACAGTGTCATTTTCTGTAGTTATTCACTATGAAAACAGAACTTAATATAAAAGAAGAACTTACACAATGAGATTTACTTTTAGTTAGCGTAGCTATTAAGTTAAATAAAACCCCACAAACTCAGTTAAATTACAGAGCTAGTTGGAGCTATCTTTCACTTAACTAAACTGCTCAATTAATACTATTACTGTTTTTAAGTGCCCTCTAATCAGTTCTAACTCATAGTGACCCTGTACACAGTTTCCGAGGAGCAACTGGTGGATTTGAACAACCAACCCTGAGATTAGCAGTCCGGTGATAATCCTACAGCGCAACATCAGGACTCTAATACAGTTTTTAGTTACTAGAAAAAGAAGAATTCTAAAAGTTAAAATTAGAATTCAAATAGTCAAAGCCATGATCTGTATCTTTATGATCCTTAATTCAAAAATTGTGCCAATGATTAGAAAATAAGCTCTACAGAGATGTAAATAGGGTGAGTGTTGTTGTTGTTGTTAAGTGCTGTTGAGTTGGTTCTGACACATAGTGTAGCTGTATAGGGTTTCTGAGGAGCACCTCCTGAGCCTGAACTGCCGACCTTGTGTTTCAAACCAATATTTTATTAACCCACCGCGCTACACAATGAAATGAGTACTAACAGAAAATTGCTGAGTCTAATGAAATAGTATTAGAATCACCCTGTTTTTACACAAATAAAATACGACTTCTACATTTGCTTGCCAACTGTTTCGCCTCCTACCCCCCAATACAGGTATTTTCATAAAAGCTGCTATGCCAATTTAAAAAAAAAACATGTTCCATGGCACTATAGGATAAGCACTCGACCACAAAGGTTGGTTTGAACCACAAGGTTGGCAATTCAAATTCACCAGCCATCTCTCAAAAACCCTATACATGGTAGCTATTAAATGGGAAACAACTCTGCTGCACTTACCAACAACATAAAAAAAAAAAAAAATTAGCATAACACATTTATGAAAATACTTCCCAGGGAAAGGAAGTAATTGCCAGGCAAACATAGAAGGTGTGTGTTCACTGCAAACAAATACAGTATAGTACCTTTAATAAATATACAAATTAGTGATATTTTGGGGAAGTGAAGAGTATTGGTATGCAACTGGAAATCTGTGGATTTAAAACTCAACATTTTGAGTAAGGTTTAGTAAAATAGGAAATGCCACTCTTCTCATTTCTTCATATATATGAGTAATAAAATATACAATTTTATCAAATACAAGGGCTTAAAAGTTCATGGAAGAATGGAATTAAAACACAATTAAATTTCTCCCACAAACTTTTTGAAGCCCCCTCATATACTGCTTTGTATAATGAAAATACTAAATTTTAATTCAATTTTAAAAACATCTGAAGAAAAAGCAATGAGAAAAATTAAATGAAAACTAGATTTTATTTTTTGTAATGAACGTATAGTTAAATCCTGAAAAAAAAAAAAGAGTACTTAATCATTCGAATAATTTAAAGTTATAAATCAGAATAGCTTTTATGTGTCTGAAACAATTCGGGTAGCTTAATAATTAAATCAACTTATGAAATAATATTCCAAACATAAACAGTTAAAGAATACATGTCTTACCGTGCAGGACCAGATGGCTCATCTCTTGCCGAGCTCAATACAGTTTTGATTATAAGTTCCTAAAATAAGGAGGAAATAGAAGCAATGACTTAGAACCCACTAATTCATTCAACAAATATTTATTAAGTAGCCATTTTGGGCCAGGCACTGTGCATGTGCTAGAAATGCAACATTGAAATAAAACAGGCAGTCTCTGTTCTTACATATTTTTAATTAAGACTCCACTATTATTACTAGTCCTGGCGTGGCGCTGTAAGATAGCACTTGACCTTAATTTTGGTTTGAACCGCAGGTTAGTGGCTTAAACTCACCATCCACTCTTCAGAAGCTCTATACACGGCCACTATGAGGCAAACACACTTGATAGCACTTAACAACAATAATTATTACTAAAACAGCTAATGTTCCTAATTAGAACAATAGTAAAGATTCATTAAAGACAGATAACTAAGGTAGAATTAATAGATCAAAGACATGAACTTCTTAAGACTTCATGGAGTATCATTTTAAAAGCTAGTCTTCTTTTCTTCTAACATTTTTTTTTGGTGGGGATTGGAATAAGCAGTTAGGATTAGGGTTAGCAATGTGCCTAGGTTTAAGCTATGTCTCATCACTCATCTGTCAAAAAGTTCTAGTGTGCTGAAAGCTACACAAGCAGCATTTTAAATGCCACCAGAGTCACCCATGGCAGACAAGTTTCAGTGGAGATTTAAAACGAAGATATACTAGGTAGTAGAGATGGAACGCTTCCGAAGGGTAAGCCACTGAAAACCTTATGATTAAAAGCAGAACACTGTCTGATATAGAACGGAAGACAAGTACCTTAGGTTGGAAGGCATGCAAAATATGACTAGGGAGACCCTGTCTCCCTCCTCAAAGTGAATTGGCCTTAATGATGAGGATGGAATAAAGCTTCCATGACCTTCGATTGCTGATGGGGTACAACTCAAAATAAAAAGAAACAGCTGCAAACGTCCATCATAATTAGAACATGGACTGGACAAAATATGATTCGAGGAATATTGAAAGTTGTCAAAAATGAAATGGAATGCATAAAGAACAATATGCAAGATACTAATGAGCTGAAGTGGACAGGTATTGGCCATTTTGAATCTGATGATCACAAGGTTTACTATGCAGGGAGTAACAAATTGAAGGGGAATGAAGTTGCATTCATCACCAAAAAAAGCATTTCAAGATCTATTTTGAAGATCCATGCTCTCTATGAAAGGATAATACCCATATGCCAAAAAGGATGACCAGTTATTACCACTATCATTCAAATTTACACAACCAAGCCAATGATGATGAAACAAATTGAAATGTTACCAACAAAATGATACACCACTGGAAAAGCTTACTCATCTATGCCAGGAAGTCAGCTAGCTACCTGGCCAACGGATTGGAAGAGATCCACATATGCGCCCATTCAAAGAGAGGTGACACAACAGAATGTAGATATCATCTAACAATATCTATAATATCATTGTTGTTGTTGTTGTTAAGTGCCATCGAGTCGGTTCCGACCCATAGCGACCCTGTACAGGATTTCTGAGGCCGTAAATCTTTACGGGAGCAGAATGCCTCATCTTTCTCCCGCGGAGCGGCTGGTAGTTTCGAACTGCTGCCCTTAAGGTTCACAGCCCGATTCGTAACCACTACGCTACCAGAGCTCAGGTAAAATTATGTTGAAGGTAATGCAAAAGTGGTTGCAATATCACATTAACAAGGAATTTCCATAAATTCAAGCCAGATTCAGCAGAGGAGGAACAAGGAATATCACTGCTGATGTCAGATGGATCTTGGCTGAAAGCACAGAATGATGTTTGTTGTTGCTACTGTTAACTGCCATCAAGTCGGTTCCAACTACTAGCACCCTGCAAGGGGTTTCCAAGGAGCAGCTGGTGGGTTTGAAGTGCCAAACTTACAGTTGAAACTGACCTTGCAGTCCAGTGCATTATCCTGCAGAGCCACACCAGGACTCCAGATGTTTACATATGCTTTATTGACTGTGAAAAGGTTTCAACTAAGTAGATCATAACAAACTATGGATAACACTGCAAAGAACAGGAACTCCAGAGGAATGTGTACACAGAAAATATGGCCTTGGTGATAGAAATGATGTTGGAGAACGCTAGAATTCTACAAAATCAATGATTTGTTCATTTCAAATACCTTCTTCAGACAGTATAACAGATGACTATACACATGGATCTCACTAGATGGAATATATATATAAGTAAAATTGACTACATCTGTGGAAAGAGAAGATGGTAAAGCTCCTTATCATCAGTCAAAATATGGCCAGGGGAAGACTGTGGAACAGACCATCAATTACTCATATGCAAATTCAAACTGAAGCTGAAGAAAATGAAAGTAAGTCCACGAGAGCCAAAATATGACCTTGAATATATCCCACCTGAATTTAGAGATCATCTGAAGAACAGATTTGATACATTAAACACTAAAGAC